GATTGACATGTGAAATAAGCTTGTTCCTAATTTGAACTAATAAAAAAAAAAAAGAAAAAGAAAATACTCCCATTGAGGCTGATCTAAAGTTACCAAATGGTTTAAAAGGCAGCGTGCAAGGCTCTCAAACAATAACAGGGGGCTTGGGCACCCTGTGTGAGCTAGCCCAGCATATGATCGCATCTTAAGAAGTTAATTCTGCTGGCTCTGATACAGGGGCTTCTGGCACCCTGTTTTCCCACAGAACTTCTTTTATAAATCTGCAAGCATCCCTGGATGCTTTCTGACTGGCTCTGAGGCTGGGCCGCCTTAGGTCTTGCTATTCTCCTTCTGTCTGTCATTCTCTAGGCCTTTGATTTTCACCTTCTAGCTTCCACCTCTTGCCTCCCAATATCCTGACCCAACTGGTAGCCAAAAGGCAAGCAAGCGAGCTTGGTGATGTGATCCACAGAAGTCCTTCACCTGGACACTGAGAAGCACGGCCAACGGAAGGGCAATGGGCAGGAATGAGACCCATTCAGTCTGTAGGAAACGTGGTGGATGAGTGAGCAGATGAACTTAAGGAAGGGGTCACAGGTTTGGAACATCGAGGATGCCTGTGTCAGCTTCCAGCCTTCTCTTCTGGCTTGGAACCCGGAGTCTGAGTCTACTCAGTCCTCCTTCTTTGTCTACACAGCCAGCACCTTTGGTCTGGATTCTATTTTAAACCCAGAAGTGAGGTAACCTGGTATGACAAGAGAAGCACAGCTGAAGCCACAAAGTACCAGACTCCAACGTAGAAGAGTCACCAGCATCAAGGACTGCCATCATCAATGACTCAGTTACATGGAGGCTCGCACCAGGCCGTGCCAGACTGTCCTCCTTCAGTGTCCATGTGCATAGAGGATTCTCTGCCAGGTGCAAATGTCCTTTGGATAATTCAGCTCCCATGTCTGTGAGGCTGGAGTACCTAGTTGTTGCTGGAAGTTCTGCCAGCCAGAGCAGTGTGTCAGGGGAGGAAGGGGTAGGCCAGAGCAGTATGTCTGTCAGGGGAGGAAGGGGTAGGCCCACCAATGGCTGGGCTTGCTGAGCACTTTGGACCAGATCTGCCAACTTTGTGGGGCTCACACAATGCTCTTTGGTATCTGTTCTTTGTGTTCCAAACTGTAAAGAAGAACCTCTCGGTTCCATAAAAATGTACGAGCTCCTGTTCCCCAAAGAATTGTGACTTAGGAAGCAAGAAATATAATTTAGAAAACAAACAAACAGCAAGGAAACCCCAACCAAACAAAACCCTTTGTAGTCATGATCCAATTTGGCAAGGTCAGCAGATATGGTGTGAGCAAGTGTGAACCTATCATTGTGCTAATTCACTGAGGTGTTTGTTTTAGCAGCTTGCCTACCCTGACTGACTGACTGAATGACTCTCTCTCTCTCTCTTCCTCCTGCTCTCTCTCTCTCTCTCTCTCTGTGTGTGTGTGTGTGTGTGTGTGTGTGTGTGTGTGTGTGTTAGAGGTCAGAGAGGTGAAAGGTGGGGGTGGATATGATACCGGAAGGAATATTCTAGAATGGAAAGTTCCCTGGAGAGAATATCTTTGTTGCTCGTTGGTTGTGTTACATAGAAGACATGTGAAGACTTTATGGAGAGAATGGTTAGTGTCTTTCTTATCATATCCTCTGGATTCTGGCCTAGAAGGATCGCCGTGCACATTTGCTGTGACTTACCGTAAATGGACGGTCAGCCACGGTCAGACCCAGTGGGGAGCAGTCTGGGAGCAGGAGAGAGCCCAGGGAGGAGCTGGAGTCTCCTGGTCCCAGTTATGAAAGGCATTTCCCTCCTTGAATCACCATGCCAATAACCACAGCTCAGCAGCTTGTCTTCTGGCCACCGTCCGTGAATTTCCAAAAACACCTCAGAAGCAACTTCACATTTGTCCTTAACAGTCAAATCCAGCCCAGGACCAGCTCATTTCCAAATCTGATTTTGGGTAAGAAAGTAACAGTTGGTTTATTTTCATTCACCATCAAAATGGAAGAATACCTTTCTTTTCTCTCTTCTGAATTTGGAGGGTGCAGGGCGGGAGGGGTTAGAAAAACACCCTGGTGTTTAGAGCCCTGGCAGGTATGGACTGAGGTGGGATGACCCTGGCTGGCTGATTATACAGTGTGGCTTTCATGTGCTGAGGGTGAG